AGATGGTACCGTCATTCACAAAGATGCTCACTACGGCCCCTGACTATGTGCAAGACCACACAGGTGTGCATGCCGTGGCAGGTGCCACAGAATCCCAGGCTTCCCAGAAAAGAGCTGGGACACCTCACAGAGACAGGGGCAGAAGCTGGTAAGTCACTGCTGGCATGAGTTCCTACCACTAATGGGAGGGGCTACTTCTAGAAGCTGGCCAATGGAGGAGCTCTTGGATTGAGGACCCATATCCAGTGGGATGAACATCTGGGGCAGAGACCTCCAAATGATGTGACACATGACAAGCCCTGACTGGGGGTGAGGTTGGTTGGCAGCACCCAAGAGGTTGGAGGGTGCCAGGGTTACAGGTGTAATGAGCCCTGGGCTGGCTTCAGGATGACAAAGAAATGAGCCTAACCTAGGGCTACCAACCCAGAGTGTGGCAGGGCTATCTATCAGAGGGGCATCCCAGATGCTTTGTGTGGCCATGTTCAGGGAAGCCATGAGAATATTCAGGAAGCAGGGACTGTCCTGCAGGCTGAGTTTCCACCAACAGGGCTACAAGATGGCAAAGGATCTGCACCATCCCGCAAGGGGTGCAGACAGGAGGGAAGTGCCCAGCTCAGTCAGGCCAAGGTGTCTGATGGCTTCTGAGGAATAGCTGGGAAAAGGGGGCAGTAGGAGAGACTTCCTAAGGAGCCGACGGTAGTGCAACCTCTTCAATTCACTCTCCTAGCCTGCAAGAATTTAAATCCAGTAATGAGGACCACACTTCAGAACTGAAAATATTCCAGCAGGGGCCAAACATGCTAAAGCACAGAACATACGCTAAGATGTAAGCGCAAAAGCTGGGCAGGCAGCAGGGGTGGTGCAGGAAACCAGACGACCATCCCCCCAGCACCATGCAGTCAGAGGCTGGCAACTCCAAGAGCCCACCCTGTGGGCAAAGGGCAGGCAGTTTATTCACCATCTCTTACTGAGGCTGCAGCCTCAGGCTTTGCAGCATAACGGAGCAAACAGACCAAAGAGGTGCTGCAGGAACATCCTGTGCAGGGCAGCCAGCTATGTCCAGTCACAGAAACCCCCGCAGAGAACAAGATGGAGCTGCACACACTCAGCAGCTCAGAAGGCCCAGAGCTCGGGGGCTCTAGAGACAAGCGCAGAGGAGACAGGGCCTTCTACCAGGACACATCCTGCTGTACCTCTGAGATACTTGTACACATTACCTATTTCAAAGAATTTAATAAAAGGAATACTTCAAATACTTAAATGTGTAAATCCTTAACTTTCCTTTTTTTTTTTTTGAGACAGTCTGATTCTGCTGCTTGGGCTATAGTACAGTGGCGTCATCACGGCTCACAGTAACCTCAAACTGCTGGACTTGAGCGATCCTCCTGCCTCAGCCTCCCAAGTAGCTGGGACTACAGGCATGTGCCACCATATCTGGCTCTAAGTTTTTTTCAAGGAAGTTGTATTTTATTATTTTAAACCTTAAGAAGGGGAAAATAGTTGCAAACCACAGTCAACAGACTTAGCACATCATTTTCTCTCTGTGCATGCCAGTATTATAATTAAAGCTGGAATAGGTAGAAGGTTTAAATCTGATTTTAAGTCTTTTCTTCCTAGCTGGGCTCAGTGGTGCACACCTATAGTCCCAGTTATTCGAAAGGCTGAGAAGGGAAGAACACTTGAACCCAGCTGTTCAAGACCAGCTTGGGCAACATGGAGAGAGACTATGTCTCTTTAAAAAACTCTTTTTTTCCTAGTAAACAAAGATATCCAATGCAACCAGCACAAACTGAACAAGCCATGGCTTTTGGTTTCCGTCAAGGGAGCAGGCTTCTGTACTAGCCAAGATGGTAACTTTCAGAATGCCAAAGCCACTGGAAGTGTAAATCATTACAAACTATTTCCATAATATTTGAATAACAAATGCTGTATTTTAGTTAAATTCCACTGAAGAAAAACGTGTCCCTTAAGAGTGGGGCACACCCCACCATCACTGCAATGGTACAATGCAAACACTCCACCTGTGGGCACTTGGGCTCCTGAAGCCCTGTAGGGTCAGTGGGGCTCGACTCCAGCGGTCCCATATGCAGCCTGCTTGGGCCCCTATCCCAGCAGCCACAGCGAGTCCAGTCCCCATCTTGGACCCTGCCTGGAGGAAACTCAGCCTGCAGCAAGGCTGAGAGGGTGGTTCAGTGTCCCACAGACGGGCAACACAAGAATCGCCTGAAGGGAAAAGGTTCAAGCATGGGGATTTTCAGAGTTCCCTTAAATGGTACACATAACTGAGGATGAAAACCAGAGCTCCAGAGCCCAGTGTGCCCCAGGTGTAGCGAACGAGGGGCATGGGCCTTGGAGTTCCTGAGGGAACTGTGGAGAAAGCAGTACAGTGCAGCCCCTCAGAGAGCCCAGGCCCCAGCAAGCCTTCCTCCTCCTGACCACCTTTGCCTAGAGAGACAAGCCCACCAGGGAGGCTCCTCACTCACCCACCTGCACCTGCTCCCCAGGCGTCTTCTCTGTCCCGCCGTGGCCCTCGAGGTCATCATGGCCATCATCCTCATTACTGTCACTACCAGAATCTTCCAGGCCTGAGAATACACTCTCTTCACTGTCAGAAAGGCCAGAATCCATGCTGTCTCCATGGCTGGGAGCAGAGCTGCAGAGAGAGAGCTGCAAGGAAGCACTGGGTTGGTGTCTGCTGCCCCTGCAGGCTTGCCCACACCGGCACCATGAGATGACTGCTGCAAGGAGCAGGCCCCACCATCCACTCCAGGGACTGACCAGTAGCTCTGTACAGCCAGCCTCCAACGCCCTACCCTCCAGCCCCAAGTCTCTACCTCTAGTGAACCATCCACCTAGCCTGAGCCTTCCGCACCTTCTACCTCCACAGGCAGCATGGCTACCTGCCTCTGGCATGTACATTTTAATTCCTAGCATCTCACAAAGAAGACACCTTTTAAGGACAACATCCCCTTTTTAGAGCTCAGTTTCCACTGCATTAAAAACTTGCTTGCCACTGCCAACTAAACTCCTCCACAGTCTACTCTGGCATCCAATGCCCCCAAGAGCTGTGAGGGCACTAACTGGGGGAGGAGCTGGGGGCCAGAGGAGGATCACAAGCCCTGCAGGGCTTTTACCACCTGAGGAAGCAGCCTCCTTATCTAATGAGATTGGAACCAACAGTCAGCAAGTTGAAAAGGCTAGTTGAAGAGTAATAAAAACAATTCATGCTTTACTTATACACAAGTATAATCCTAATCACTCCTGTCTTGGAGCAGGACACAGCTTTCTCTGAGCAGAGCCCTGATGACTGGAGACCACTCCATGCCTAGCTACATGACATACAGCAGACAGGTTCCATCATCAGTTTGTTTTTTTTGTTTTTTGAGACAGAGTCTCACTCTGTGGCGTCAGCCTATCTCACAGCAACCTCAAACTCCTGGGCTCAAGCAATCCTTCTGCCTCAGCCTCCCAAACTGCTGGGACTACAGGCATGTGCCACCAAGCCCGGCTAATTTTTTGCATATATTTTTAGTTGGCCAATTAATTTTGTTTCCATCTTTAGTAGAGTGGGGCCTCGCTCTTTCTCAGGCTGGTTTCAAACTCCTGACCTCGAGCAATCCTCCCACCTCGGCCTCCCAGAGTGCTAGCATTACAGGCGTGAGCCACCTTGCCCAGCCCATCACCGGGTTTTAAAAAGTGGAACTAGAGAGCTGGGAGTGGTAGCACATGCCTGTAGTCCCATTCACTCAGGAAGCCAAAGTGGGAGGACTGCTTGAGGCCAGGAGTTTGAGGTGACAATGAGCAATAACCATGCCACTGCACACCAGCCTGGGTATCACAGAAAGACACTGTCTCAAAAAAAAAGAAAAAAAGTAGAACAGGAACTCAAAGACTCTCTGGAAGCAGCTGAGTGTGAAGTCTAGCCTTTACTGTCTTCTAATAGTTTGTAAATCTCTCCCAAGAAAACAGACTGTATTTACCAGCTATGCCATAGCATTCAACTGAGTTTTCACAGAAGTGATTCTAACATATACCCACTGGTGATGGAGTTCCAATATTCAGTTGGCCACACAATTCTAATAACAAATAGACCATAAATGGTTTGGGCACAAAAACAACTGACTCCTGATGAGTATTTAGCCAAAGGGTGGAAGTAGCAGAGCCTGGCGCCCAGACCTGCCTGCTGGCAGAGGGCAGTGGGCGAGCAACAGGAGTACATTTCACAAAACAAAGGGACAGCTTCAACAACCCACTTGGCTGTGCATGCCTTCTGCCCAGATTTGATGACGCCCCCACAACCACACCACGGCTAAGCTGGGCATTAGGAGTAGAGCAGCAATAAGTTCTGATACAATAAACACAGCAGTCACTGAGTTATATTCAGGTTTTCTTATTCTCATATCCAACCATGAGAATAATAATGCAGATAAGGCGAGTACGAAGAGGTTAAATATTAAGTGGGGGTGCAAACCCCGATCCTACCGATGGCAAGATGCACAACGCAAGAGGCTCGAAAGGCTCCGGTGAGGGCTGCCCCCGCCCCCCGCCCGCTCCCTCCGGCATCCCCAGACCGACTCCCGCTCCGCAGCTCCGCAGCACGGGCTGTCCTCTCAGCCTGGGGCCCCACAGCGACGCCAGCACAGCGGACGCGCCCCCGCCCTCCCCGCCTCCCCTCTCGACCCACGTCCCCGCCCGCCACGTGCACGTTGGGCCCTCGGACGGCCAAGCCCCCGCCGCCCCGTGGTCACCTCCTCCAGCTGTGGCTCCGGGTCCTGCTCAGACTCTGGCCGCCGCTTCATGCCGCAGCCCGCCGTAGCCTCCACGCGCCAAGAGCCCAGCTCGCCCGCCATGCCAGCTGCACGCCGGCTCGGACCTCCACAGCCGCTTCCGGCAGCGCCGCGGCGCGTGCGCCGGCAGGCCCCGCCCAGCCTGGCCTCGATTGGTGGGATTCAAGGACGGGGCCAGCACGCGCAGGCGCGCGGTGTGGCCGGGCCGAGGGCGGGGCCTGCGGGCGCGCACCAGTGGGGACGAGGGCGGACGGCGGCACAGACGGGAGCGCGCCCGTCGCAAGATGGCGGCAGCCATGCTAGGCCTTGGGGCAGTGTGTGCGCAGCGGGCGCTGGTGCGGTCCGGGTGGCAGGCACTGCGACTGCGTTAGCCCGGCTCTCGGTCCCTCTTTGCGGCCGCTACGTCCGCTCTCCTTGCCTCGCCCGAGATGGATTTGACCGTGGGCCCCGGCGCTGCGGGGCCCAGCAACGTCCCGGCCTTCCTGACCAAGCTGTGGACTCTCGTGAGTGACCCAGACACCGACGCGCTCATCTGCTGGAGCCCGGTGAGCGGCTGTGCGCGGGTGCGCGGGAGCCGGGCCTGCGTGGGAACCCCGAGGGTGTCGGGCCGGGACAGCAGGCAGCGGGCCCCGCCCTGCTGCCCGCGGGGGAGGGGACCTGCCGGGAGGGAGCCCTGGATGGGCTGGGGCTGGACCTCCTAGAATGCTCCGCGCCAGGAGCCAGAGGCAGTTTTTCGGGATGATCCTGCCCTGTCTCCCGCCCCTAAAAGCACTGCAGGTTCCAAATCTGCCCCAGAGCTAGAACCCTAATTTGGAAAAGCAGTTCGGAGACCTTGCCCAAGTGAAGTTTCCCTGGGATGAGGAGGATGGAGCTTCTCATTCCTTAGTCTTTTGCTAACTATTGGACAGTTGCGGAAGTATATCTGTCCTTAGAATGAGCGCCCAATTTCTCCAGAAAACGATGTGGCCAAGTGTCCATCTGTATTCTCTCAAATGGCCGGAATCGGGGTAGTGGGTCGGCAGCTATTGGGAGAGAAATCAGGACTTGGCACATGAATCGTAGGGCGTTGCTTTTGTGGAAAAGAAGTGAAAACAGAAAGTAAAACGTCTCAAAGTTCAAGTCGATCTCAAACCCGTTCCCAGATACTGGAGCTAGGTTTCCCAAGAACAGTTTTGTTTTTCATTCCTTGTGGGACATCTTTATTCGTGTTCCTGTCTTCTGTTGCCTGGCAGCAGGCTTGTTTACATGGTCTGACCCTGCAAGACCGGACAGCTCTGGTTTGCAGAAGTAAATCAGTGATTGTGTCGAGTTGGAGATCAGAGTCTGCTGTTCACATCCTGGCTGTGACGTTGTGTCCGGTGAAGGCCAGAGCCATAGCCATAGCCAGGGCTGGCAAATGATGGCCTGAAGAAAGGCCACACTGATCATTGGGAGCTCTTGGAGGGACTGGAACAAACTGGATGCCTCCAAACGTGCTTGACCTCCTCCTGCAAGCTGCTACACCAGCATTTCTCAGACTCAGCTGAGTATCTCCCTTTTGTACACCAGTCTCTTAAGCCATTAGGAATGAAGAAAAAGTCTGTACTGAAACTAGCCCCAAGCTGGAAGCCAGGTTCTCTGCCTCTCGGGTTTGTTTAGTGAAGCTCTGCTTTGCTCAAAGGGTATTTGGAAATAAGGAGAAGACTAGAAATCTTCACTCTTCTTAGAAACACTTTGTATTTGTCCTGCTGACACTTCTGTATGGGCTTTCCCTGTTCCCAAGTCCCCAAAAGGGGCAGTGTGCATTTCTGCAAGCTGTCTTCATTCCACCATCTCTTCATTCTAGACTTTGAACTTTTCCGACCAAAGGAAAAGACCCCACATTTTTGTCTTTCTTGTTCCCCTTAACTCTCAGGAAGCACTCTTGCCCTGTTGGGGGAGGGCCATAAGGGATTCTCTGGGATATTCTGAGCTTAATCCTGCCCTGTAATCTGTTTGCTGTTTCTGCTTAAAGAGTGAGAGGCAGGTTGGTGAAGTGTTGATGTACTCTCTTCCAGGACCCACAGCAAGTTTTGGGTAGGGCTTTGGAGTGGGAAAGGTGGGTCTGATCAGGCGTGGGACCAGCCTCCATCCACAGCAGCTACACCATTTGTGAGCCCCGTTGTTGTGTCCTCCCTGGGGAGGGACGGGGAGCTGACTTTAATAAGGGTGTCTGGTTCCACCTGATTTTATAAAGCCTGCGTAGTTGGTGCAGGACACAGCTGTGGTAGCTGACATGATAGAGAGATGGAAACCAAGCACTGGCTCACAAATGGGAGGAAACCCTTTTCCAGCCTGGGCAGGGGACTGCAGAGCTTCTTTGGGCTGCTTGGCCTGGAGAAAGGAGATGATGCTTCCACCTCACAGCCTCGAGGGCACTCACCCAAGCCCTGAGGCCTCTGTGGCAGTAAAGTCCCAACTTGGAGACTTGAAGATTGGGAAGGCTCTAGTGTTTCTGCCTCAGGAACCTCCTCCTTTGTGCTGGAAGTCTTCTCACCAGTCAGCCAAGAAAAACCCTCTGTGTTTGAAAGAAGGAGATGAGGAAGAATCTGAGGGGAAAGACTGTCCAGCCCCAGAAACTCTGGCCAGTGCCTTTACTGAGCCTGGCCTGGTGTTTGCTAGGGCTGGACAACCACTACACATTCCTCCCTGGCCTGAAGTCTGGGTTCCCACACCATTACTGGGGCTCAGAACAGCAGGCCCTACCCCAGAGTCTGTGTAGTAGAGACTGTGGCAGCTGCTCCATCCTTGCGATGGTGTTTTCCCTTAAACCCTCATTCAGTTAAAGATGGACTAGGTGTATACCTTACCCAAACAGGCAAGGGCCTTTAGAGGTCCATGTGCTCCCAGACAAGTCCTGGAGGGCAGTGCAGCTCCATCTGCCCTGGAGAGGAAATTTGGTGATCATGAGGTTAGGATCCAAGAAAGATCCACATAAGAGCATGGGCATAGATGTGCGTGGTTCTCCCTCGGCAGGCTTCTCAACGCCTTGTCCCAAAGGTGCAGCGGTATCCAATACTCAGAGACAAAGAGAGATTGAACACCTGGATAAACAGGTAGCTCCATAAATACAGCATGAGATCTGGGCCCTCCCCTGCCACGCCCCATACCATCTCTCAGCTTTAGCTTCCTCCGCTTTGTGCAAGGGCAACTCTATCCACCAGCTAAGGCTCTTGCCAGGCCTGCAGAACCATAGGCCAACTCTGGAGAGCAGAAGCCTCTCCAGAGAGCTTCACAACATGGAGAAATGCCCAACGTAAGTGGGAATGAAGGCCGAGAACACCAGGTGCACTGTGATCCCAATTTCCTATGAAATATAATCTTGTTCAGGATTTTTTCTAACAAGATTGAAAGGAAGTGTGAAAAGCATTCCTTTGGATGTTGAGATTACAGATAATTTTTACATTTTTTTCTACTTTTTAAAAAGTGAACATATATTTCATGAACGAGTCATAGGAGATGTTTTCAAATTTGATAGATCTTTTCAAAAGAGACTGTCCCAGCCCCACTCACCCCTTGTCTCACAGGGCCAACTGTGCTTCCCTTGGGCAGCTTGGCAGTGGGCTCTGGGCTGCAGGACTAGCTGTGCTGTCCCAGCCCCAGGAGCCACCTATCTGGTTGGAGAGCCTGAGAACAGGCATAGGGCCATGTGACTGGTGCCAGACAAATGCTGAGGCAAGTGTTGGGTGTGCAAGTGACAAGGAACCATGGTAGACTGAGGCCTAAGGATCAGGGCAGAGCTAGAGTGAGGCCAGAGAGGTGCCTAGGTGCAAAGTTTAAGGAGGCACTCCATTTTAAGCCCCACCCTGCAGTTGGATAGCCCTGAGAATGAGGGCCTCCTTAAATTTCATCTCTTGGGTACCTCTCTGGCCTCTCCCTGGTCCCAGCCTGATGGTGCAATTCTCTTCTCTTTAGCAGCAGGAATGACTCTAGAAGGTTGTGTTGTGGCCCTGGGAGAATCCCTGAGACTGAGGAAACCAGAGGTTGCCAAGCCCTTGGGCCCATCCCAGGGGGGCCTGTTGAGTGCCTGAGGTCAGATGGCCACTCTGGAGAGGCTGGATCTCTAGGTGGGAGGCAGAGCTTTGCCTGCAGTAAGGTGGGTGCAGGGCGCACTCAGGTGTTCCTCATGAGGTCACGTGAGGAATTACAGAAGCAAAGCACCCAGTCATACCCGGACGCTGAGAGCTCTGGCCACAACATGACAGGTAGGGCACTCCTGCTCCCCTGGCTCTCAGAGCTGTGCAGGCATGTTCTCAGACAGCCGGCAGGACCCAGCAGGCCCATTGGGCCTGTCCTTGAAGATCTGGTGATCATCCTGAATCTCAGGCTGCTGCACCAGTGGGCTGGGAGCTGTACTACAGAAGCTAGAGGCCCCAGTGCCTCCCCAAGCCCAGGGTGCTCAGGAATAACCTACAAATGGTGCCCAGCTGTCCTCACTCAGCACCTCTGTGCATGGCATGAGGTTAAGCCTTCTTGTTAGTTCTGTTCTGTCCACAACAGTTGAAATAGATGGCATGATTTACATTTTATAGATAAGAAAACTGATGCTCAAAAATGCTGGGCAACTTTACAAAGTAAGAGCTAGAAAATGCTAAAACCAAATCTGAAGTCCATGTTCTTTCCCCAGAGACATCCTGCTATTGCTGCTGCCTGCCTTCCTATTGAGACCCAGGCTGCCCTTGGAGTGGCCAGTACTGCTGGCTCATAGAATTGTATTTTGTATTTTTACAATGCCTCTCTCTCGTCAGGAGTGAAGGTCCTGCAGGCCTGCCTTTCTGCTGCCTTCACTACAGCCGCATGTCCCGGTGTTTGGTTGGGGCTTCACAACCATACTTGGACTGACCCTGCAGGTTGTTCATAGTCAGAATTGTATTTTGGATTTTTACACAAGAGCCCTTTCCCCTTCCATAGAGATATACAGATATATACAAACAGGTGGACAGATGGACGGACGAGACAGGCAGAGATTATAAACAGACAGGCTCTACACTGTGGCCTCCTGTGTGTTTCCCCTGTCCAGGGGGACAAGAGAGTGTGCAGTAAGCAGGGCAGGGCATGGAGGTCACAGAAGGTTTGGGCTGAGGTGGCCTCCTTGGAGAGGGGCAGATGCCCACAGCACCCTGTGCCCACCTGACTCCCCAGGGCCAGAGTGTGCCCACAGCCGTTTGTTGAGGGGCTAGGAGGGGGCATCTGGGCCTGGGAGTCCCTGGTTTCTGGAGGTGTAGGCCTGGTAGAGGATGAACCATAGAGGCGTCAGCATGTCCACAGCACCCACCCTGTAGGGGCAGTCATCCCCTATCAGGTATCACAAAAACTGGGCTGGAGCCCTCACACTCAGGTGGTATCACAGCCTGCTCCATTGGCTGCAAGGTTTCCTCGAGATCTGGCAGTAGGAGGGGACCAGTCTTGCAGGCTATGAAAGGGAGGGCAGGTCGGCTTCAACTGACTCCCAGTGCCTGGCAGCACTGGCCTCCTCCCTCTGACCCTGTGGACCCAGCAAAGTGGTGGGCCAGGAGGTTGGGGTGCA